ATGCCTCCCTGGGAAGAATGCTCAGGAGCTGTGACATTGAGCACATTGCCCCTCTACACACTCACACCCAGGAACACAGTTCAGTGTCAGAGTATTAAAGGGATATCTGAGGGGCACACTGGGGGAGCAGGGTGCAGGCAGATGAGGGCATGTGGGCCTTGCCCAGAATGGTTGGTGTTCACCAAGACAGCATGCAGATATTTTGTCTGTTGCTGCATATAAAATGATGCATGTGCCAGAAGCATTGGTTATAAAATAAATGTACTTATCTAAGGAATGTTTCCAAATTGTCATGTTTTTCTCTCGTCTGGAAGCACTTTGACACAGACACACAGGACCTCACAGGGATCGAGTGGGCCCCGAATGGCTGTGTGCTAGCAGCGTGGGACACTTGCTTGGAGGTATAGCACATGGCCAGCAGCACATTCTTTCTCAAGAGCATTCACTAGCAGGCACCTGTGTGCGCTTCAGCGCAGTGAGCTGCTGGGCGCTGAAGCATGTGTTCAGGGCCTGACATGTCTAATGTCTCATCTGCAGTACAAGATCCTGCTGTACTCCTTGGATGGCCGCCTGCTCTCAGCATACTGTGCCTATGAGTGGTCCCTGGGCATCAAGTCTGTGTCTTGGAGTCCCAGCAGTCAGTTCCTGGCCATTGGGAGCTATGATGGAAAGGTGGGAAATGGCTCAGGGCACAGGCCAACTCCATGATCTGTAGGACACGGACAGCTCCGTGAGCTGTCTGCGTGTCATTCTCACGGTTCCTTCCCCAGGTGCGCCTCCTTAATCATGTGACCTGGAAGATGATCACCGAGTTTGGGCACCCTGCAGCCATTAATAATCCCAAGACAGTAAGTCTGCATATATCTTCACTTGAGCACAGTGGTTTCTCCGGTGCTGTGAGCTGGTCTTGACCTTTCTCAGTTGCTGTGATGTTGACTTCCCTGTCCCTGCACTCTCACATACTCCTTTGTCAAGGGCATGTCTAGTCCAGGCTCCTCTGTCCTAACCAGATGCTGTGTTGATGCTCTGTCCTCTGCAGGTCCCTGGTGTTTGCAGAGGGGACTGGGGGATCCTGAGCATCTGCCATCCTGCCAGGCACTGTGCTCTGGGCTTCAGTAGACAAGCAGGGAAGGGCCAGGAGAGTTGTTCTGTGCAGACCTGGGTAGGAGCAGCCCGGGTCCAGGAACTAGGAAGTGCAGAGATACCACAGTTGAAGGCATATTCTGTAGCTCTGTAGTGTTGAGTCCGTGCTGTCTTTTGTCAATGTCTGCAGCAAGGTCAGACTTCTGATTTCCTTGTAGAGGTCAAGGTGCTAGACCTGAGGAGGACAAGGAAGGGCCAGGGCTGCAGGCCAGAACCCTGGAGGAAGGAGGAGCTGGGTGCAGGCAAGCTTTAGTCAGGGTGCTCTTGCCGGAGCGGTGGTTGAACCTGGCCGGAGCCCAGGTGAGGGATAGCAGGCCAAGGTTTGCCTGGGTTCATGTGTCTGTGGTTTCTCTGCCTGGGACTGTGGTTATGAGTCAGCTGTGTTCACTGTGACAGAATGCCCAAGACAGGACCAATTTAAAGGAGGAGGGATTTATTTTGGCTCCTAATTTCCAAAGCTTCAGTCCATGGTTCCTTTGCCTTGTTACTTTGGGCCTGTATCGAGGCAACACATTGCGGTAAGGAGCAAATGGCAGAGCAGAGCTAATCTTACAGTGGCCAGGACGCATGGAAGAACAGGTCTCAATGTGGGCTCCAAAGACACACCTCCAGTGACCCATCTTCCCACCTCAAACTGGTTAAAGTTACCGCCAGCTCCCAGTAGTGCCACAGGCTGGCAGCCAAGCCCCAACTCGTGGCCTTTAAGACCCTCACTAGCAGCAAGTCAGGCCTGGCTGTTTGCTGCTCACTGGCCTCTGGCCTGGTACCCACATCACTTCTGCATAGCTGTGACATTGTTCACCATAACACAGCCATGTGATGAGGTCGGTGCCCATCTCTAAAGGACAGCCTGGCCTGTGGGACTGAGATGGCAGCTAAGCTGTCCTTCACTGCAAGGGGTCAGACTGGCACTGCTTCCCAGTAATAGTGGTTTCTGACACTTAAGTTAGACCACCTTCCCCTGAGTCCCTGGTTCTTGTCACTAACTGGTTAGTGGCCACATCCTATTTTTCAGGTTGTCTATAAGGAAGCTGAGAAGATCCCACAGCTGGGGCTGGGCCACCTGTCCTTCCCACCTCCCCGTGCAATGGCTGGTGCCCTCTCTACCTCAGAGAGCAAATGTAAGCAGCAGAGGGCTGTCTTCCATGCATGGGAGAAAGCTTGTTCTTTCGTAGATGAGAGTCCTCTGTCCATGTGAATCTCAGGTGCTGTTTGGGTGGGGAGATTTTGAGATGTGGTCCCAATCCTCCTGCAGCATAGGGATCACAGGTGTTCTCCTGGGACGCTCTCCTTTCCTCCACGGCCCTGTGTTCCACAGGCCCTCGTCCCATCTGTCACAACAGCTTGAGTTAATAGTCCTGGCCCTCCAAGGTGTCTTTTAGACAGTTCTCTGAATGGACCTCAGAGGGGTTTGGGAGGCAGAAAGAACAGGAACAGACGTGTACTTGGTGGCTTAGCCTTTTCTGGAAGAGGACCCTGAGCTCCACTTCCTGCCCTGCAGGGAAATGGGCAGGGACCTCAGACTGAAGATATGAGGGGACGGACATCAGCTGGGCAGTGTGGCCTTAGATGGTTGAGGGCAACCAGGCTTGAGGGGTGCTGCTCATCATGCTGGCTGGTGTTTATCTAACATCTGCTGGTTGATCGTCTTCCTTTAATTCCCAGCTGGAAAGGAGTGGCCATCTGTGCAGAGATGCTGGAAATGATACACCTGCCAGATGTCCAAGTAGCTGGGACTAGCTCAGAAAGCAGACCTAAGCATGCTTATATCCTTTCACTGGGGCTCCAAACTGCATGGTCCGCTCCCCACTTGGGGCCCTCTAGGCAGTGAAGCTGTTGTCCCCTAGGGAACTTGAGAACAGGCCTCCTACCACAGCCATCAGCTCTTTAAGCCCTCCACCCAGCAAATCTGTCCCACATTTCCTGGCATGTTTTCCCGTCTGCCTGCCTCCTCACCCCTTCTCCATTGTAACCAATGCCCTCAGCACGTCTTCCCTGTTGGTGTTCCAGATGAGATCGCCTCCGGGCCGGTGTCCTTGCAGACTCTGAAGCCAGTAGCTGACAGAGCCAACCCTAGGATGGGTGTAGGGATGCTGGCTTTCAGCTCTGACAGCTACTTCCTGGCAACAAGAAACGGTCAGTGTCATACTCATAAGCAGGGTCAGCTGCTCACTGCACACTTTGATGCCAAGAGTAGAGATGATTGGAGAAACAAAGCTCAGGGGGGTAGTTGTGTGCCGTTCTCCTGATTTTCTGCTGAAGTGGATATTCTGCACAGCAGCTCCTTGCTAGTCTGTCCACCCCTAGCTGATTGCCTACTCCCCCGGCAGGCCTTCTCACTGCAAGAACGGGTCCAGCATTGGCCTTTATGGGTCTGGCTTTGTTTGCATGTTTTTACATTTACAAATGTAAAAACCATAGGAAAAGAGGGGTTTGTGGCCTTTGGAGGCCTTTTCTTTGTTATGGGTCCTAGTCCCTGAGAAAGAAACCCAGTACACCCTTTGAGCCAGGGCTTGCTTGAAGGGGGCCAGCGCTCACATGGTGCCCTATTTCTGTTTCCTTGCAGACAATGTCCCTAATGCTGTCTGGATCTGGGACATTCAGAAGCTGAAGTTGTTTGTGGTACTAGAGCACATGTCTGCAGTGCGCTCATTTCAGTGGGACCCACAGCAGCCAAGGCTGGCCATCTGTACAGGAGGGAGCAAGGTGTACCTGTGGTCCCCGGCAGGCTGTGTGTCAGTGCAGGTACCTGGGGAAGGTGAGCATATCCCAGCAGAGAGACACACTGGCTCAGCACAGGCTGCTCTACTTAAACCTCCCACACTATACCTTTCAGCAGACTTGGAGGACCTTGCCTAGTGTGTGCACCTGACAGAGGACCTGCTGCCCTAAGCTTTATAGGTGTTGGCTTCACGAGGCTCCTCACTCACCCACAGGCTGCCCTCCTTGGTCCTGGTTTCTGCTCTAACCTTCTGACTACCTGTCTCTCTCTAGGTGATTTTCCAGTGCTTGGACTGTGCTGGCATTTAAGTGGGGATTCCTTGGCCCTCCTTAGTAAGGATCACTTCTGTCTCTGCTTTCTGGAGACCAAGGAGGGGCTTGGCACAGCCTGTGGACTACAGGATGGCCATGCCTAGGACCTGAGTGGAAACTGAGGCAGCAGGCCCTGCTGGTCCCAACATAAGCAACAGCTGCACAGGCTCTACACATGGGACGGGATGCTCCGTTTTCTATAGTGAGGTGTTTCTGTAAATATGTATAAAGTTGTAATATAAAATAGGATTTGCTAATTCACGGAACAAGAGTGATCATTTTCCTCAAGGCCTTAGGTCAGAGGTTCAAGGTCCGTCTTGGGAGGATGAAGAATCCTGAAGTACCATCACTTAGCTCCCTTTTGACCCTTTGCTCTTTCCTGCGCCCTGTTTTCAGAGTGCTTTGGAACAAGGGTGACTGCTCTCCCACCTGTCCAGCCCCTTTGCAGCAGGACGTACTCAGAAGTGCTGTGAGGTCCAGCACCTGTGCTAGTCCCCATGCGGGATGGGAGTCCCACAGCAGGTGGGCAGGTCTCTGGCCCAACAAGGCAGTTCAGCAGGGAGTCCTGGGTTTCAGCCTGGCATAGTGGAAGTGCTCAGACCACCCAACATATGTCCATATCTCTAACAAAAGCCTTGAAAGCAGCCAGACCAGAATGTTGGGACTTCCAAACCAGGATGTGTACTTAAGCCATCTGAGTTTTTGTCAAGAGGACTACTAGGGAAGGTCACAGCCAGCCAGCAGGTTCAATCCCTTGGGCCTCAGGAAAGTCTTTGGTTGGCATACCTGTTTTGTGACAGTAACTTCAAAAAGGAGCGACTCCATTTGGTTTTCAATGTCTTTACTACAAGACCAAAGCACTGGGTAAAGACCAGGTGCATCTGAGGTCACCTTTCCTCTTGGGCAGGCCATGGCACTCTGGTCGCATCCATGCTGGCTAACGTAAAGCAGAGGTATCGAGTGACAGGCCATCATCTACAGCGTGATAAATGACAAGAGCTAGAGCCACAGGGGCAGCTGCGTGTGGCTGGCGGTTGAAGCTCAGCAAAGCTCAGTAGGGCTGATGGCACCTGGGATGTGTGGGGCTGCAGGCTGCTCTGTCTGTTAACAAGCATGCACTTTTTAAACCAAACCACTCAGTCCCTTTTAAACAGAGACAGGATGATAGAAACCCACCACCATGACATCCAGAAGGGGCTGGATTATGTCATGAGACTGACCTTTGCTGGGCCTAGGAAAATTGCAGTATTAACACAACCTGGATTACTTTTACAAAGTATGACTTTAGGTCAAACATAGTCACAGAAGGGCAGCTTCACTAGGAACTGCCAGGCAGGCTGTCTTCCTTGGTAACTAGTCTGCTGACTGCTATTGTACTTAGCTTTTAAAAAATGGGCTGGATTTCAAAATACAAAACTGGACGGGGGTATTAACAGGTGCGCAGTCGCAGTGCAGGCACTGGAGCCACTGCGCTCCACCCTGTCGTCAACAGTCCCCACAGCAGAAGTGGGCGGGGACATTCTGCTCAGCATGCTGGAAGGGCAGGGCAGGAAGAACAAGCCCAGTAGTGACACTGGAAAAAACATTTATGTGGAGTTACAGGAGGAACACGGTGGCATGGGGACAGCCAGTATTTCTGCCTTCATATATCATGTTGCCAAGGTGTCCAATATCCAACTAAATATATATAATTCACTTGACTATTCTAATCAGATACTTAAAGTGACAATGCCCGTGTTCTCTCCAGCCACAGTGTGTAGCACGAGGTGGCACACCAGTCCCCACCACCTTGGTTTTCTTGGGGACACAGCTGTCTAGAAGCCTATCTTGCCCCTGGTCATGGAGTAACCCAGCTTGGCTTCGTTGTTAATGAAGGACATTAGCCCCACGTAGGTCTCGATGAGGAGTGGCCGCTCCAGCACCAGCACGCTATTGGCCTGCCCTGGCAGTGGACTTTCCTTCTGGGCTTTCTTGACGGCTTGGATTAGAAGAGCCTTGAAGCTTTCCAACTTTAAAGAGAGAATAAAATAGAGCCTTAACCTCAAGGCAGACAGCAGTGTTCCACCTCACAGGAAAACAAGGGGAGCAGGTCAGCAGGTCAAGCAGGTGTTACCAGGTAACTCGTCCCTTGCAAACAAGGCGTTAAACCCCTTCAACTCTCGAGAGTGCCACTCTGTCACTTAAGATGCAAATCTTTCTTACACAGACGCACATGCTCTGAAGTGACACAAAGTGCACTGAGCAGTGTGGCCCTCTAACAGCACCGTCAGCACACTGTACACACCGGTGTGCTGTGTGCTCAGGGACCAGCAGCATCACAGATGGATGGACTCACGAGGACTGTGATGTCACCAAGTGACAGGACTTCCTCAGCCCTTCCATCGCCTGTCTGGAATGTGTAAGCAATGCACTACGTGCTGCATGTCTACCCTTTTGAGGAACCTCAGCTCCCTCAGCACCCCCCAAGTCCACACCTCTGCACCTGCAGAGCCTCACCAGGACTTTGGGGTTTTCCCACGCTAACTCAACCAATCCAGACTGAGCATCCTGCAGCGGGATGGGGTCTCCTGTTTTGCAGCCCCGCTAACCAGTTTCCCATTATTAGGAGCTGCACTTGAAGTGCTCACACTGTACCGTATAGCCCAGGATTCGCCCACCCGTCACTGCTGGGTCCAAGGGCCCTGGATCTGCTTACATGGCATAGAGACGCGGTCTTCTCATCCATGCCAGCCATCGGGTGTTCTATGAAGGTGGCATAGGGCATGTTTGTGGACCAGGGGTTCCATCTATTGATGAAAGAAGGGCGGCTCTGCTTGTCCCACTGAATGCGAACCCCAAAGCCTTCTCGCCTGATGGAAGAGGGGAAGAAAGCCTTGCTTACCACAGGAGTACAACATTGCAGCCAGCACCAGGGATGACAGGGAAAGCCATGGTTGAGTGAAACATTGGTCTCCACTAGCTGCTTCAAGTACTTTCCAAGTATAAGAAGTTAATGTCTTGGTGATGCTAAGCCTCATCTTTACAGCTTATGAAACAGGCATACAGTTCAAACCAGCCAAATTATGGATGTGCTTGTTCCTTAATGTGTTATTGAATGATGTTTAAGCTTGCAACCATTAGCTTCCTGGATTCCCTATTCAAATATCCACAGACTGTGGGCTCGGGTGTGGGCCTCTTAAGCTTCAGAATAATTCTTTTATAGCAAGCTGACCGGTTCTTGAAAACTGGCTGTTAGTTTTCAGATGTATCCAATTTTTAGTACGTTCAGTCAGTCAATCTGCTTATCTTTTAAACAACCACCAGTAAAAGACTGAATACATACCCTTTGTTCCGATCCTGCTGGAAGTAAAATGTCCACTCTGGGGAGTGCTCAGTACTCAACATAGCTTTTAACAGTGGGCGAGGCTTCCACATATCCTAACAGGTAAATGGTTTTTAGTGCCGGCAGAGTAGCCGACTGTGCCAGCCTCCCTTTTAAGGAGGTAGTGGGCCGCCCTAAAGTCACCAGCTTCTATTTTAAGGCCCTTTTCACTGGTCCTTCAAGACCTTGGGACCTTTAGCTCACAAGAGTGGAACAAAACCACTTACAGAGTTCGCAGGGGCCCTGACGTGTAGTGCGCTGGTGCACCTACTTGTTGAGCGACTTTGGAGGAAACTGGAATTCTCCACAGGATATGGTGTCCACCGCGCTGAGCGCCACCCTGACCACCTGCTGGCACTGAAGGCTGATGAAGTCATATTTGCAGATGAGCAGTGACTGGTCGGTGACCAGCACCAGCCGCTCCTTCTCGTTGTTCCAGTGGTCTACCCTGGAGGGAAGAGAGACCGCCTGTCACCAAGGCCCCCGCCCAATACACGCCCGGCGGCCCCGAGGCTCCCACGCGCGCTCGCGCAGGCTTACTCGGTCAGCAGCCACACCCCCTGGATCTCGCCGTCCTCCACCGGTCGTACGACGGCACGGATCTCCTCCACCGCCTGCTCGATGGTGCCGGGCCGGAACACGAAGTACTCCTTGACACGGGCGCGGCGTGTCGGGTCGTGGACGCTCAGCGGCCACAGTGTCTGGCGCAGCGGCGTGCCCGCTCCCGGCCGGCCAGCGCCTGCATCGTCGCCGGCTGCCAGCAGCGCCGTAGGGCTTGTGCCCGCGGAGTCCACGGTGTCCCGCAGCTGCAGCATTGCGCCGCCACCCGCCGGCCCCA